GACAAGAAGTCAGAGACAAGAAGTCAGAGACAAGAAGTCAGAGACAAGAAGTCAGAGACAAGACGTCAGAGACAAGAAGTCAGAGACAAGAAGTCGGAGTTGAGACGTCGGAGTCGAAAAGACGGAAATCGAGAAGTCGGAAGTCGAAAAGTCAGAAGTCGAGAAGTCAGAAGTCGAGAAGTCGGAGTCGAGAAGTCGGAGTCGAGAAGTCGGAGTCGAGAAGTCGGAGTCGAGAAGTCGGAGTCGAGAAGTCGGAGTCGAGAAGTCGGAGTCGAGAAGTCAGAGTCGAGAAGTCGGAGTCGAGAAGTCGGAGTCAAGAAGTCGGAGTCAAGAAGTCGAAGTCAAGAAGTCAGAGACAAGAAGTCAGAGACAAGAAGTCAGAGACAAGAAGTCAGAGACAAGAAGTCAGAGACAAGAAGTCAGAGACAAGAAGTCAGAGACAAGAAGTCAGAGACAAGAAGTCAGAGACAAGAAGTCAGAGACAAGAAGTCAGAGACAAGAAGTCAGAGACAAGAAGTCAGAGACAAGAAGTCAGAGACAAGAAGTCAGAGACAAGAAGTCAGAGACAAGAAGTCAGAGACAAGAAGTTAGAGACAAGAAGTCAGAGACAAGAAGTCAGAGACAAGAAGTCAGAGACAAGAAGTCAGAGACAAGAAGTCAGAGACAAGAAGTCAGAGACAAGAAGTCAGAGACAAGAAGTCAGAAACAAAAAGTCAGAAACAAGAAGTCAGAGACAAGAAGTCAGAGACAAGAAGTCAGAGACAAGAAGTCAGAGACAAGAAGTCAGAGACAAGAAGTCAGAGACAAGAAGTCAGAGACAAGAAGTCAGAGACAAGAAGTCAGAGACAAGAAGTCAGAGACAAGAAGTCAGAGACAAGAAGTCAGAGACAAGAAGTCAGAGACAAGAAGTCAGAGACAAGAAGTCAGAGACAAGAAGTCAGAGACAAGAAGTCGGAGTTGAGACGTCGGAGTCGAAAAGACGGAAATCGAGAAGTCGGAAGTCGAAAAGTCAGAAGTCGAGAAGTCAGAAGTCGAGAAGTCGGAAGTCGAGAAGTCGGAGTCAAGAAGTCGAAGTCAAGAAGTCGGAGTCAAGAAGTCGAAGTTAAGAAATCGGAGTAGAGAAGTTGGAGTAGAGAAATCGGACTCGAGAAGTCGGATTCGAGAAGTCGGAGTTGAGAAGTCAGAGTCAAGAAGTCAGAGTCGAGAAGTCAGAGTCGAGAAGTCGGAGTCGAGAAGTTGGAGTCGAGAAGTTGGAGTCGAGAAGTTGGAGTCGAGAAGTTGGAGTCGAGAAGATGGAGTCGAGAAGTTGGAGTCGAGAAGTTGGAGTCGAGAAGTTGAAGTCAAGAAGTTGGAGTCGAGAAGTTGGAGTCGAGAAGTTGGAGTCGAGAAGTTGGAGTCGAGAAGTTGGAGTCGAGAAGTCGGAGTCAAGAAGTCAAGGTCAAGAAGCTAGAGTCGTGAAGTCAGAATCGAGAAGTCGAAGTCGAGCAGTCGGAGTGGAGCAGTCGGAGTCGAGAAGTCGGAGTTGAGTAGTCGGAGTTGAGCAGTCAGAAATGAAGAAGTCGTAGTCAAGAAGTTGGAGTCGAAAAGTTGGAATCGAGAAGTCGGAGTCGAGAAGTCGGAAGTCGAGAAGTCGGAAGTTGAGAAATCGGAGTTGAGAAGTCGGGGTCGAGAAGTCGGAAGTCGAGAAGTCGGAAGTCGAGAAGTCGAAGTCAAGAAGTCGGAGTCAAGAAGTCGGAATCGAGAAGTCGGAGTCGAGAAGTCGGGGTCGAGAAGTCGGAGTCAAGAAGTCGGAGTCTAGAAGTCGGAGTCAAGAAGTCGAAGTCAAGAAGTCGAAGTCAAGAAGACGGAGTCAAGAAGTCGGAGTCAAGAAGTCGGAGTCAAGAAGTCGGAGTCAAAAAGTCGGAGTCAAAAAGTCGGAGTCAAAAAGTCGGAGTCAAGAAGTCGGAGTCAAGAAGTCGGAGTCAAGAAGTCGGAGTCAAGAAGTCGGAGTCAAGAAGTCGGAGTCAAGAAGTCGGAGTGAAGAAGTCGGAGTCAAGAAGTCGGAGTCAAGAAGTCGGAGTCAAGAAGTCGGAGTCAAGAAGTCGGAGTCAAGAAGTCGGAGTCAAGAAGTCGGAGTCAAGAAGTCGGAGTCAAGAAGTCGGAGTCAAGAAGTCGCAGTGGAGAAGTCGAAATCGAGAAGTCGGAGTCGAGAAGTCGTAGTCGAGAAATCGGAGTAGAGAAGTCGAAATCGAGAAGTCGGAGTCGAGAAGTCGTAGTCGAGAAATCGGAGTCGAGAAGTCGGAAGTCGAGAAGTCGGAAGTCGAGAAGTCGAGAAGTCGAGAAGTCGGAAGTCGAGAAGTCAGAAGTCGAAAAGTCGGAAGTTGAGAAGTCAGAGTCAAGAAGTCGGAGTCAAGAAGTCAGAGTCGAGAAGTCAGAATCGAGAAGTTGGAGTCGAGAAGTCGGAGTCGAGCAGTCAGAATCGAGAAGTCAGAGTCAAGAAGTCGGAGTCGAGAAGTCGGAGTCGAGAAGTCGGAGTCGAGAAATCGGAGTCGATCAGAGTCGAGAAGTCAGAGTCAAGAAGTCGGAGTTGAGAAGTAAGAGTCGAGAAGTCGGAGTCAAGAAGTCGGAGTTGAAGAGTTGGAGTAAAGAAGTCGGAGTCCTCCGAAGAGAGTCCGAGGAAAATTGATGGACAGAGTCGGTGGAATTATGCTGACTCCGACTCCGACTACGACTATATGACTGGTTAAGATCATACATACTTGGATATAATCTATCCTTAGAAATATCAACAACCTAAATGTTCGGTAAAATTTAGGCAGTTCAGTTTAATTGTTTTAATGCTACAAAAAAACAAAAATTGCACTGCAAAGACAAGAATTGTTTATTTGAATAAGATTTAACGTGTTTTGAAATAATGGTTGAATGAAATAGGTGAAGATCATAGTTTTACCGCTGATGAGATTGCGGTAAAAAATTACCGTACGCTGCAATAATGTATGAGTGTGTTGCAATCTAGAACTTCCGGATATTCAGAAAAGCTGTGCAAGAACTTATTCAATCAACACAGCCGAAAGACTCCAATCACTCGAGAACTAAACTACTGCGAAAAACTAATTTAGTAAATTTCTCACACGTGAGACCTTGGGTTAACAATAACATGCGACTGATCCGCTTGGCTTCTCACACAGCACTCTATGGCAACAATATCAAAAGTTCAAACTGAATTCTAAAGAGACATTAAGGGAACTCCAAGGAGAATTGAATGGACATTTCTATGATCATCCTGAGAAAACTTTTACGAGCAATTCAAGATAATTTTAAACCGAATTCCAATGGAATTCTGATGAAAATACCGATAGAAGTCTGAGAAAAACTCAAAGTTAATTTCAGGAAAATTATTAAAGGAATTCCTAAATATTTCTGATCAGAATTTCCTCACAATTTGAATTTAAAGCAAATGATGGAGATGAAATCATTTTCCAGCTGCTGATTATACTAATCACAATTGAGAGTTGCTCTAGAAATATCGCCTGTATCGGTTTTGAAAGCATTCCTAATCAAATCGTTTTTCACAGAAGTTCATTTCCATTATCAACGAGCCGCTCTCACCATCTGGATGTAAACTTTGCCGTAAATATTTAAATGCCAATAAGTAGATTATAACCATCGAACCCTAATCCAATTAAGTGTAGTTCCAGAAAACGAAACCGGCCATCCATGTTGGAATTGTATGCACAGTAGGTACCTACAGTGCAGTACAGTAAGATACACACATGTGCTTGTGCATGGAGGAAATAAAATGATTTCAACAAAAGCCCACTTGAGCCACACTGCGACAGTTTGAAATGGGTCGGAAATCAAAATGAAAACCGCGTCCACTTTCCCTCATGACACTTGCCAAACCGTCGTCGTCGTCACAAGCTTTTCATTTACGGGAGTCTCCCTCCTTCCTCGTAAAAATTAAACGCATTTAAAATCGCTCTAATCCTTGAAAAGTGCTCTCTTGGGACACGGAGAAGAGACGGGGTAGCGTTGATGGGATCATAAGAAGGGAGTAAGCAGATGGATGACAAAATATTCATGGCTGGTGTGCCGTTTTATAATGTTCGTTTGGGACATGGGAGTTTTGCTTTCCTTCAATAAATAATTTAGCGATTTACCTTGTTTGATGAATATTGGATTTGGCGTTTTTTCGCCTGCCGTTTTTTGAATGATATGGGATTTGTCATAGCATGGTCGAATCGATGTTCCGGGAAAACTTTCGGTATTTGGGATATTCTCTCGACGAATGCCGGGGCAATTGAATTGGACAGATATCTATATGGGATTAATATCCCGGAAAATTGTTTCCGACAGTTCTGAGTGCTGTGCCTTGCGGTGTACATGCCCTCGGTGTCTAGTATACTCAGAAAAGTAGCTCACAAAATGTTGATCTAATTTGGATCGCAGCAACAAGCGCCTTGTTTTCCTGTTAACAACCCAGTTTGCAACATATTATTTCCTTGAAGCTCTCCACCCGGAGAGCAAATTAATGTTCCATCATTGTTAATATCTTATCCAATGAGCTGTAATATGTTGGAAATGAGCTTTTACTTCAGCTGTCTAGGATGCATCCCACATCATCCCCATCTTGATGTTTGTGGTGCTATATCACCTTATGCATCCAACCAAACTCCACCGCACATTTTTCATAAAGAGCGAAAAGAACATCCATTTTAAGACTCTTCTCAAGACTCTCCAGTTGGCTTGCCATAACTCATCGCAGTAGCTGGGGCAAAAACATCAAAGGTAACTGCGATTCAAGCTCGGCATCCCATCATAATTTCAAGGGGATTATAGCTGTGAAATTCTTCCCTGTGCTTTCCTCACCATCTTCGTGCTTCATTTTTTTTTTTCAAATTTCGCACTGCTAGAGAGCATCGTCGTTGCATCTCATCTAAATTTTTCGGCGAGCAAACATTTCAATTCAAAACCATACTTGAGATCCATTTTCTTCTTACTTTTTGCACTTTTTTCATTAGACGTCCGCGGATGCTGCATCAAGAACGGTGTCAGCCATCGCACCTGTTTGGATAAAATGTGCGACCCGGTGAAAGCTGACTTCACAGAAGTTCCGGACCTGATGGTGTGCGCTCCGTGGGCAAACATCACGTTCGCTTGCTTGGCCAACAAAATTGATCATACTCCTTGTTGCAAATCACGTGGCATTCCGGACGCATGCTTGCCATTCTGTTCCGGAACGGTCAAGGCCATAAATTTCAACTACTTCAAGTGCCTGCAGTACATGTCCGACTACAGCAGTTGTCTGCTACAAGGCTACGGAGTCCTATCAGGACCACCATCAAAGCTAAAGGCCCCCTTGATTGCCCCGCATTTTGTAGTACTCGAATGGATGCCACCAAAAATCCTGCCCGATACAGTTACCTCATACCATCTGCACTATCGACGGCTTGGAAGTGGCGAAGAGTATATGGTTCTGGATAAAAACCAAGCGCCGGTGATCGTTGAAGACCTCGAAGCTTCGCAGTACTACGAAGCTTTCGTAGTGGCAGTCAATGCTCACGGAAAAGGTGGACCTTCGCCACGACTTGTTTTCCAAACGAAGCGAGAGGTTGGTAACCCATCTCATGTCTAATTACCTGTTTAACCTTACTAATCTGTATCCAATCAACAGAGTCAAGCGGAAACCGTCACTCCGTCCTACAACATTTCAGCCTGTTGCCACGCTTCCGGACTGCTACCGCAGTGTGCTCCTCTGTGCAGCTACGACGTTAAGATGTCCGATCTGCAGAAGCTCGGAAACACCTGTAGAGGGCAGCTCGGTACGATCGTTCGTTGTAGCGCTGGAGGTCGCGATCATACTTCATGCTGCGCTCGACGAGCTGTCCCACCAAAGTGCCAATCGCTGTGCCGTGGTGTAATCACCCAATCTCCGGCTGACTGCCTACCGTACGCTGGCAACATCATTCAATGCTTCGAAGAAGGAATCGGTCATATTCCACCACCGGTTGAAGATTTACACGTCTCATCGGTTACCAATACAAGCATTTCACTAGCTTGGGTCCCATCGGAAACCGACCCGAATAATACCGATACCAAGGCATCGGATTACGTGGTTCAGTACGGTAAGGTGGACAACATGACCATGTACGAAACAATCATCAAGCTGGAAAATGTAAGTATATAATCAATTACCGCCAAACTCTGCAAACCTTACAACTAATTCCACCCGCAGGAGGTAAACACTACGGAAACTGACATCGAGCTGAACAACCTCGAACCGAAAGCCTTGTATCGAATCACCGTCGTTGCCCGCGGTCTTCACGGAACATCTCTCCCGTCGTCAATGCTCCTGATCAACACATCTCGCACGGATAAAGCTAGCACCGTGTACGGTGCTCCTTCACCTCCACATTCCCTATCGGTTTCTTCTCACAGCGCTACTTGGATCACCATCGCATGGCAACCTCCGGAGTTCTCCCATCCTCACGAAACCATAACCTATCGGGTAATTCACAAGGTGGCCAACAACATCACGGTGATCGATACCCGCCTCCTGTGGGTACGAATCTCCAACCTTCAACCAAACACTCAGCATATTATCTACGTAGTCGCTCTGGGAGCAAAGGGATCCAGTTTGCCTTCAGAAACCTTGGTCGCTTGGACCGATCCAGCTCTACCTGCCTTTGTTGACGTGAGTGGCTCCTACTTAGCTTCCCTTGAAAGATGATTTATCGTATGATTTTTTTTCTCAACAGCCACCAACGGTTCACCCATCTGACATCATCTCCGAGGGCGGTTCAATGACGATTCTCTGCCTTGCCCTGGGCAATCCCGCCCCGACCATTTCCCTGTACGTTGGAGGTCATCTCGTACGGCAGGACACCTCACGACACATGATCACTGTGATACACAACGTAACCATCGATATGGAGCACATTTCGTGCTACGCCGATAACGGCTACGGTATCCCGATGCAAGCCTCCAAGAAGGTTAACATAAGCTGTAAGTACAGAATCCTTTCGCGATTGCTTTCATAATACTAACAGAAACCTTCGAACTGCAGTTGCTCCACGAATCCAGGCTTCCGGAATCACTGTCGCATCGGTAGGGGAATCCGTCGATCTGAAGTGTACCGTCCGCTCGAGACCCATACCGAAGACGATGTTCTGGCGCGATCATGACGGCCGGGTTCCGGTTATTCAGGGTGGAAACTATGACATGTCCATGAAGAATGATGTTGATGTGAGTTATATTCTATTTTATAGCGAATCAAAAGTGTTGATCTCCTTTTCCCAAAGCAGGACACCTCTCTGTACACGATGACCTTAACGATTAACAAACTAACCGCCCAGGAGGTTGGTGATTACTTCTGTCACGCGGAGAACGCTCTCGGCTCATCGACTCGTGCCGTATCGGTACGTATTCGTAATACTGCCGCCTCGTCCAATATTTCCGAATGTTGCGTAGCCCAGAACGTATCCTCTGCATGTATGAGTGCTTGTTCGTTCTACATCGACATCGAGAGCGTCATCGATCGACCGGAGTGTATCGTAGACTTCGATAAGCTGATGAAGTGTGCCTCCGATGGATCGGATCATCGAGGTTGTTGCGCCTCCAAGGACGTTCCACGACGATGCCTGAACTGGTGCCGCGGAGAACCGATCTCACCACCGGGTATCTGTGCCTTGCAACATACGCGTACCATAGTTGGATGTTTCCAGGAGAATAGAGAACGACTACCGGGACCACCACAGAACCTGCAGGTTCAGATTCTGAACGATGAAGAAGCTTTGATCAGGTAAGGATCAAGGTAAACCTTCAAAGAATTCTTTCTAAATGTATACTTTCCTCAGATGGGACCCGCCAATCAAGAACCCTCATACCATCGAAGGCTACCGGGTATTCTGGCACGACCTGGAACCAGTGACAACCGACAATCTGTCAAATGTGATTAGTGGCCTGGGAACGAGTCGTCTAGATGCGAAGGAAACGAGCATTAAACTGGAAGGTCTCAAACCGGATGTGATGTATGAACTGGTCATCAAGGCCGGTAACCATTTTGGAGCATCAGTCCTCTCCGAACCGTTGCGATTCACCCTGGGTGATCACCACATTACTTCCGCTTCGCAGGCATCGAATGCTGGAGTTATTAGTGGCATCATTGCCGGAATTTTGGCGATCATCCTCGCGATCGCGGCTCTTGTGATTATGAAGAAGCGAAAGATCGGCCAGAAGCAAGCCAACGGAGGAGTGGCTTTCGAGAATCCAAGCTACCTTCGCGAGATGAATGTGGAGCACGTTCAGGTAGGACCGTAGAGGAAGTTTTCATTACAATCAATATCTAATCATTTCTAATCCCGTTTGCAGATTCCAGCCGTTTCCGGTCAATCAGGCACCGACTGGCGACAGGAGTCGTTGCACACCGCCAATGGAACCGCCACTACCGGGCTCGGCCAGGACAACTCGGTCGTTCCCATGGCCACCGAAGTGAACCCATCGTTGTACGAAGAGCTTAAGCTCGGTCACGATCGGGCCGGATTCAAAAGACTTGTTTCTTAGGAATTGGTGAATTCTCCTGCTCCCTAGGGCCCAACAGCCGGCGGGAGTCGCGAGGGAACGCAAAGTGTACTTGTAAATACCAGCGGACAGTTCTAGATGTGATCAATTGAGAGATGATGATGATGATGATAATGTTGATGATGAAAATGATGATGACGATGGCAGTACAGTGTATCGCTGTTTGCCGTCTGTTTTTACCGTATTATTCGTGATCGACCGTAAGATTATGATGAATTTCTAGGTGCTGAATAAGATTTTTATAGGGTTAGACAAATTTTGTAATAGGGAAAGTTTAGTGAAGGTTTTCTACACGCAGCAAAGCAGAATTCAGCTAGAAACGAAACATGGCAAGCACTTACACACATCACCTTTAGAGCCAGACTTTGATTGGTTAGACTTGTAGCAATGACGACCGCCACCCTCCGAACACTAAGATCAACAAAATAGGAAAGCAGACACGTTTGATGACACCCACTACCAGCAGCAATCTAGTCAAAACGATGAAATCCAATTCACCGTAGACGCAACCAGTTCACCAATGAAGAAATGCGAAGCAAAATGATTCAAGAATCGCCTCCAAGGAGATTCGAACATGACCAGTGGCAATAATTCGTTAAGTTACCTTACCTATTCGGGAATTAGATATTTATTAGTTCATTGCGCGGCAATTGAGAATCGTTTTACCGTTTCATCAACAAATGATATTCTGGAGAATGGAATCGAAGTAAAATCCCACAAATAGTTATATCAATTGCATATTACTTTCTGTCAAGTGGTGTGTGTTTGATGGCATTGACGTAATTTATGTGTGTATGCAGCAGTAAGAAACCATACACACGCACCGATAGGATCACAACAGTTGATTAATTTTAGTTCAGAAAAATTGACAGTAACATCAAGAGGAATTAAAACAAAAATTAATTTGGAAAATTGTGACAATGTACATATGATTCGTGCGTGAGAAACGAAATTTTAATACCACAATTCAATAAACAAACCTTTAGTTAAGAACACATTATGGAACAAAATGAGAATATTGTTGTATAGGATATAAAAGAAAATGTTTGTACGAAAAATCACTAGAGAAGCAATAAAAGCAACTAGTTTTATAACAAAAAAAATGTGTTTTATTAGTAATCTTCTAAATCCGAACCATGCACCAGTGGTGTTGAGTACTTGGCTGTACTGACCTATCATTTGGCGCCGAGTTTGTCTAAATCGGTTGAGCGGTTGCTGAGAACCGTGAGCGCATTCATTTCGTTACATACACACACACATACACACATACACACATACACACGTACACACACACACACACAGACATGTTACGATCTCGTCGAGCTGAGTCGAATGGTATATGATGGTTTTGATACGTTTTCCGTTAAATCCAGCGTGAAGGCCCATATTCACCGGATCTTATTCCGGCCATATCTCCGGAACCGGTTCACCGATTCCAAAACCGTTTAATAGCGTTCAATGGGACCCCAAGACCTATCATTTGGCGCCAAGTTTGTCCAAATCGGTTGAGCGGTTGCTGAGAAACGTTAGCGCATTCATTTCGTTACATACACACACACATACACACACACACAGACATGTTCCGATCTCGTCGAGCTGAGTCGAATGGTATATGACACTCGGCCCTCCGGGCCTCGGATCGATAGTCGGTTTTTCACGTGATATCTATACCCTTCTTTGTAAGAAGGGTAAAAAATGTGCGAACACTTCTAGATAGAGCTGGAATTAGGGCGTAACAGCTTTTGTAAACAATGACTTCTCTCGGTGATTTCTCGAAATCCATGGCTCTCACTGGCAAATCGACATCACCATCGAGTAGGAGAAGACTTCCCCTAACCGATGGATATGTTGGTTTGTGTAGGGGTGCATTGAATTCCTAGAAATCAACGAGAGAAGTCATTGTTTACAAAGGTTGTTACGCCCTTATTCCAGCTCTATCTAGACTTAACAAGTTCCGAAATCTTCTAGAATGTTCAGAGATCTTCAAAAAGGAGATTTTCCGGTAGTTTCATTATAATCAGGGAAATTCCGAGTACTTCGAGGATGATCAGAGATCTTTAAAACAGCTCCATTAACTTCAAGAAATTCGGAAGAACTTTCAAGGAGTTCCGAGGGATTATTTTTTTTTTTATAATTACTTTATTTGTACAGGCTCAATCGAATAAACTTTACAGAGCCGAGTTATCCTTTGCGTTATACATTATTACTGTCTTAAATTTAAAGTTAAAGAAACTGGACCGAGTACTCGCGGTTGTCTCGAGGTTAGTGGAGATTTACAATTTTTTGGATGGGAAAAGGGAAGAAGGAGGTTTGAAATGTGGTTTACGATACAACTCTTTAATTAATCCTAAAGCATGAAATTATTTCTATTCATCTTGAAAACAAACATTGAAAAAAAAACCCCACACGTACAAAATACAAACTAAACACAAGGATAATCAAACTTACAATCTAAGGTTAATATCCTTAAAGTAAACATATATGAGTTTCATAAACTCCAGATCGCGTCTAGCCAAAATATCCCGAACTTTCCAAAGTGCATTTCAGGAATGATCCGAAAACGTAGGAACATTGCGTGGCCTTCATGGATGTTTGATGAATATCAGGAAAATTACTGGAAATCATTAGAACATGTAAGGAACTTCATCCCCCGGAAATCTCTTTCATCCGGATTTTTTTCCCAACTTCTCCTTGAAATTTATTTTGACTGTTCCGTAAGCCCTATGCTTTCCAACATCCTCCAGAAATTTCTTCCAATCTACCTTAGGAAGTTTCTTCCAGCATCTCCAGGAAGTTTCTTCCATCTACTCCAGGAAGTTCAATTAAACTTCTACCGGATGCATCTATTGAATTCTCCCAGAAGTTTCTCCATATCCCATTCTCCATATGTTTTTTCCGACTTCTATCGGAAGGTTTTTCCAAGCTTCTTCTGGTTTCCCCTGGAAATGGCTTCTCCTGGAATTTGCTTCCGATTTCCGAAACTTTCCTGGCTTCCCCTGAATGTGCCATCCGATTTTTTTTTCCAATAGATGCTTTACATTTTCGCCTGATGTTTTTCAATATTTGCTTTGTAAGTTCTTGGATCTTTTTCTGTCTTTCCTAAAAAAATTTCTTCAAACTTTCTCCGGAAGAGTTTCTTTTTTCTTTCTCTGGATGAGCAGTTTTGGTGAATTCAAACATTCCCCGGAAATATCTTCCGACTTCTCCTGGTAAGTAAAATTTCCGTTCTTAATCCAAAAGTTAGAAATGTTGCCTTTTAACACGTCAAAAATATAAAATTATTTAAAATAGTAAATACCGTTAAATACCTATCTCTTTTCTTCATTTGATACCGATAAGCTTGAAAACTATTCTTTCAATTCATTTGAATTAAAATTGTCCCCATTATTATCATGTAATAATTTCCAGAAGTTCCTTGCAGTTCTGTTCCGAATTCTTTAGAAATTCTTTTAAAAATTCACCAAAAAACCGCTAACAAATCAAGAAGACTGGCAACTCTTGCATTTTCTCATACAAACGCGTCATCTGCCGCTCAAAAGTAAATGCTTCGAACGAATTTGATAGCAAAGATTACATCCTCAGAAGAAGGGTTTGTGTATTTGCTTATTTTTCTGTGAGTTACTTCCACATTCACTCAAGCGCAGCGCTATTGTATCTGCCGCTTGGATACTGTCAAAGTTGCCAGTCTTCTTGATATGATGTCTTCGCTAAAAGGTAAGGGTGAAAACATTTGAAGATATTTTTTTTTTCAATCGTGTTGAAGACATTTTCTAAAACCATCTGGCATCCCTGATTAACACTCCGAACACGATGCCTCCGGTAAAATGTGTAACGGCAAACTGGCAATGTTCGAAAAATCATAGCTTAGCCATTTATTGACGAATCAAATCTATTGGCACCATTTGAAACAACAGACCTTAAACATTTATTCCGTATCAATAGATTTAAAATGTATCGATAAATTGCTGAGCAATGGTTTTTCAAACACTGCTAATTTTCCGTTACACATTTTACCGGAGTGTTAAAGGTATGGAGATCAACAGGATGATATTGTGATGTGGCCGATGAGTCATGCGTACTCGATATGAGCAGTTATCATGTTTTTAAAGTTACTTTTATTTTATCATCCAAATCACAGAATTTAGAAGCTCTGCCTTTGACGTATCGAGTTATGGAATCAAATTAATACTGCATAGAACATCGACTTGTGGAAATATTGACTTATGAACAGTACGATACATGCAAAAATGAAGGGACCACTGGATCCATCGAGTTATCGAAAATATTGAGTTATAGAATATTGTGAAGAGTTGACTGTATTTGACCTTGATAATCACCTTTTAAAGGTGTTCGAATTTATGATTTATGAAGTGTCTGGATTTTAGTGCATTCCGGTATAATCGATGAAAAATTATTAAAAACAGAACTTTTAAATCTTTCTTTCGTTTGCTAATCCAACGTCCTTCAATATTTGACCTGCTTTTTAATGTTGCACCAACTAACTCGCTTCATGGCTGCTTTTCTACAGTTTGTTGAGAGTCCCCAAAATTTCCTAGATCTAGATCTATTTGGACTAATTACCTTGCCCTCTGCGCCCCTCGGCGTCTTGAACCAGACGGATTCGAGGCAAACACCATTCGTGCCGGATTGTTGTCCGGCATTCTTACAATGTGTCCGATGTTATCCTACGTTACCAATGATCTAAGGTTCACCATTTTATCCACCACCTTAAACATATCGCCGTTAATTATCATACTTCTACCTAGGTAAGGGTATTCGATATAAGATTTATTGGTACGATACGAAATAAAACGAAATGTTTATGCCCGTACAAATTACGTGGAACGAAATGCAATAGGAAGCGGAATTTCACGAAACCAAACGAAATGCTTCAAAATATTCCGCGGAATTGAAAAAAAAACCACTTTTCTGTCGATGATAAACATTAAACGAAATATTTGCATTTTGTATTTTCGCGGGATTATCGATGGCTAGCAGCAGCAGAACCTTTTCAATGCTAGAATTTCAAAGAATCGATCGGATTCCTTTTGTTATTTCTGGAAATTTTCTAATGTCTCTACACAAAACCATCTGTTAGACGGTTAAAGCCCAGCTTAACAGCAAAACCAATTTGAAGATGGCTTGAGCTGGATTTCTGGTCCAGTAAAATACTAAAAGGATTTTTCATGATATAAAACAAACATACCAGCACTCTTAATTTGCTGACTTCGCAAAACCAGGCAAAACAAACATTTTACTTAAAACCACAAAATTAATCTATCAGCTATTTCGATTGTGATGTCATGCATATCCAATATGGCAAAAGTTTTCAAGCCTTCATGCAACACTTTTTGAGAAGAAAATCCTTGACGATGCACCGTCTTTCAAATAGTTTTGAGCAAAGTTTTACTAATTTTCAAAATCATCATCAGTATCGGATGTATCCATAAATGAAATGAAACTCCAAACTGGTTCAATAACGTTTCCAGTAGCACCTTAAATCTTTAATTTGTTTATGAACATGTTTGTTGCGGTGAAACGTAAAGTTCACTTCAAAATAGTTAATTAAAAGCGTATCGCTACCATTTCCGCATCATCAAAATTGGACATTTGGGCGATCTGCCATTTTGTTGAATATTTTGATATGATCCTTATGCTTCAATGGAACTGGCTCATTACTGAAATTAGTAATTTGATCGATTGTAGCATATCCCGTTTCCTTGGTTTAGTGTCATATTACTCCATCACTATTGAGAAATGATGAAGTATTCGGATTTGATACAGTTGTCATTCTTGCCTTCTCAAGGAATCGATTCTAATTGAAACGTCCCGCTATTTATACCTTTCGAAGAGTGTGTCCGAAGACATGCCCCTTTGTCAGTCAAAATTGGATTCCTTAGAAGCAATGACATCGATAATGACCATTAGACTGATGCAAATTTTGACTTTTTTGCTCCACAGTGCTTAAATGGTTTAAAATCGGGTCCTGATTAGCCCCCCAAAGTTACAACTCATTTGGTTAGAAACAGACTTCGCACAAGCCATTTGAAGTTTGCATGTAGATTACTATGGGAAAT